ACAGGCTCTCAAATCGGCTTTTTGAAGAGGTGTCACATGGCTCTCACAGGTCATATCAACATGACGTTATATCTGGGTATAAAACTAGGGGCATCATTGGCAACTCCCTCACGCATCTTCACTGAGTACATGGCACACCCGCGACCAACAGAGCCCTTCTATGACCACACAGCGGGCTCCACTCCTTGCTGGTCACTCCCTACCTCCACTCTTCTGAAGTTTCTTCATACTTCTTAGTGGTCAGTGAGGTCATGGTACTGTTAAGCCCCCTGGGCACAGGAACTCTGTTTGCCCCTGGTACGTATGTCCTTTCTATGCTCTCTATGGTTTGCAGCAGGCAATGAGGAATGCCCATGGGTGACCCCTCGTCTAACTGACTCCCGGAACCATATGGTTCTCAAGAGGACTGTGTTTAGATGCCAGAAAGACCTGCTTTGTGTGACTGGGAATTGACTGGTACTGGGAGGCTCTGGTAAGTCTCCCTTGAAGATCTGACTTATTTTCTAGGGAATAATAGGGAAGGGGACCAGTCAGGTGCTCTCATGAGGGAGCTGTCAATCAGCTGGAAGTCTCCATCATGGTTTCAAATTCCGAGATACACCCCTCCCCCTTTCAGAGCCACCGAACAATCAGAAGCAGTCAGCATGACCGTTAGAGAAGAACAGGCTGTGTGTCAGAGAAGTACTTTAATTTGGCCGTTAATTATGGCCCATAGCCCCAGCATTCAGTTAACTGAGGCAGGAGGATCTCAGGTTGGAGGTTATCACGAAAGACATGGCGAGATACGTATGTCTCACACACACGCAAATTCAAAACTAGCAACAAAAGCGACCGTGATGATTAATCTTCATTGTAAACCTGACTAGATTTGGGATCTCCTAGAAGCCACAACTTGCATAAACTCCCGTGGAGTAATGGTTAATGCTCTGGACTCTGAATCCAGTGATCTGAGTTCATATCTCGGTGGAACCTTGAGGAAGAGACCAGGGAGACCTGGTCAGTCATCCTCGTCAGTTCAGACCATGAAACCCAATATAAGCAGGCTGCCCATGCATGCTTCAGCATTTCTGGGGCTTGTTTAGGAGACACACCTCTGAGCATGCCTGTAAGTGAATTTCTGAAGCGGTTTAATGGAGGAAGGGAGCCCCACCCTGTGGGCAGCACATGTGCTGGGGTCCTGGACTGAAGCGGAAGGAGCCACTGAGTTCAGGGCTGGCATTCCTCTCTGCAGCCTGGCTGTGGGTGCGATGTGACCAGCTGCCTTACACTCCTGTGGCCACAGCTAGAGCTGCTCTTAGGCTTCCCCCTACTCCCAACTGGAAGTGAAACTAACTCCTCCTTGAGGGACTTTTGTTGGGTATCGTTTTCCACAGAAAGGAGGAAAAACAAAGTGACTTTCCCCTGCTGCCAGCTAGAACAGCCGCCTTCCTCCACACAGTCCTGTGTCTTCAAATTGGTGAAAGATAACTCCTCAGGATTTTCTCTCTCACCCCTCAATATCATCAAGCTCCAGCAAAGCAGCGATTAGGAAGAATTTAGGGGGTGCCTTGGCTGGTGTGGCCAAGAAAGTGCCACGAGGGGCCAATGCACTCTGCAGGCGCCCCCTCTGAACACGTGGTGTCTGACTTCTACGGAACAGAACAAGAAGTTCTTATTAAATGGGTGACTGAGGCCCATTCATTCTGGATTCTCATCATTTTAAAGCCAGTGTCTTCCGGGGCCAGTGTTCACTCAAGTTCTATTCTAGGAGCCAATGAGCAGCATGACCCTCAGCTGAGGGCTCTCACCCCCTCATCTCCTGAAGTAGAAATCAAACGCCATGGGCACTTAACTTCTGAGTGTGAAGGAAAAGCCAGAGGAGGGGCCACCTCTTTCTCATCTTCATAGTTTGAATTCTTTTTTAAAAGATTCTTTTTTAATTATTATTTTTTGGTTAGCATACAAGGTGATGGGTTTTTATCAAGGAATCCTCACACAGATTTGTCATTATACTTTCTCAGAGGGTGCTCGGTGTCAGCGAGTGCATGAATGCCATGCTGATGACATGCGCCCCCCCTCCAGCCCTGGCTTAGGCTCTTTCTCCTCCTGTGATGCTTGTTTTTTACAGTGAGAGTCACTTGGTTTCTTAGCCAAAAGCAGGTGATGCCTGAAGCCAGGAGTGGGAAAAGGCCTGGGGAGCTGAGCCTGGGAGGAGTCTGAACCCTTGTTGCTTAGGATGCTGCTCAGATGAGGCAGGACAGGGTCCAGGCTGGTGCCAGGACAGCACGACTGGCCATCAGCCATGAAACTGAGGACAGATTCTTGCTAGATTGAAAGGGGAAGCTGTGTGGAGGGGCAGGACCTCTGTGCCCCTTGCCGGGTCGGGAAATCTATCTTGACAAAACACATCTTGGAGGATCCTTGAAGGATCCCCAGGTTCACTTTGCTCTGCTTAGGAGACCCAGGAAGGGTGGAATTCAGTGTTTGGAAAGCACACACACACACACCCATCCCTAAGCTAAGAACAATGTGTTGGCACCTTATGGGTTGGGAGCCCTATGAAATTTTCCTCTCATGCCCCCACCCCCTTTTTTGGATGGAGTCCCATATCCTTGAGTGCAGGAGGCTCTAAGGAGAGTGTTTTCTGAGTTTGTCTAATGGGAACTTCGGAGGGTGGACCTGCCACAAGACAGACCTTTGAGTGCATCGTTGGCCAATCAAAGGCTGGGGACCAGTGTCACCAGAACCGGATGCATCGTTACCTCCCACAGTAAAGCTTTCCGATTTAGTGAATCGACAAATAGGAAAAAGCACAACACTTGATTAAAATGTTTCTAAAAAATAATCTCAAATCAAATGAAGAATTTGTTTGATGCCAGTATTGTAAAATGTACAAACTTAGTCAGTGACATTTTGAGGACATGCTGACAACTTCACTGCCCAGCCTGGCCCTGGCCTGGGACATGCTCACTTGAACTAGGTGCAAGGGCAGCCCCTCTTGGTTAGGCAGAGTCTGCAGCCTCCAGCAAGTCAGTGATCCTTTATCATCCCTGTTTGGCTTGCTCCTTGTGGACTAGTCTGCTCTTATAAAATCTGTACTTGCAATAGCGAAGGACAGGGAATGTGTCAGACCCATGGAGGGACCAGGGCTGTCCTGGGTCTGGCTAAGCAGGGGGGATGGGCATGCGTTAGGGCAGGGCAATGCCTCTGGGCTCTGACTGTTCCTTGTCTGTGCTGATAACCCAGTCACGAGCTTCCTGAACCCCAGAGCACTCTCAAGTTCTCTCTGCTCCATCGCTTGCCTTTAATCCTATTTCCAATCGCCCAGATGTCAGCTGTCCTCAGATACTTAATGATTATAAGGGGGAACAGGGAGGCATCAGAAAGAGTGGCCGGCAGGAAGGAGAAATAAAAGCTGAGAGCAACCACTCATACCCAGTCGCAGAGTTTCAAGGGGATGATGTTGTCTTTAGCTATTGAAGTTTTAAATTAACGCTTCGGTCACTTGAAGGGAAACTTGTAAACAAAGACCTGGCTTATCTGCTGCTAGGGCCACCTGCCCAGAAGCTGGCACATTTGACTGCGAGCAAACAGACTGTGGAACAACTCAGCAGATCCAACTGACAGGCAGGTCCTGCTGATAAAAGTGTAAGCAAAAGTGCCAGCTACGACCCCTTTGGGGCTGTCTCCAGAGCTTCTGGGTGTGGTTAAGTGTGTGGACAGGGCTCACACCAACAGGAGTACCCCTGGCCTCCAGTCTCCAGAAGCAGGGTGTGCATCCTGCCACCCAGCAGCACTCCCTGCCCCACAGCAGTGCCCGATGCCCCCATGAAACTCTGGAAAGGCTACAAGACGTCCTACAAGCCAGGACACTGCCGTCACGTCTAGCTTGGGCTCCCTGCTCTCAGTGTTTCTTGGGGGCTTCCCTTACCACGGCTGTCGGTTCTGACCTACATGCCAAGCCTCCGGCCCAGGCTGTGGCTGAGAGCTGAGCCAAGTACAGCTGCAGAGTTGGCAACTGGGCTTCCAACCCTCTTCTCAAGATTTCAGGTTCCCTGTCTCTACCTTGAAAGGCTGGGCTCCATAGCTTCTCTGGTCATCTCTAACCCAGCATGATGCTGGGATCTTAGAATTAAGAGGCACCGTATGGTATGGGAGGGTATGTGCATACATGTTGGGGGGTCATCCTCTTTCAGAAATTGATAGGGAGTCTTAAAAGGCGCTTTAATCACGTGACCAGACACACTGCCATTCTGCATCAACAGTAGGGGAAGAGAAAGGCAACATTAGCCTACAGGCTCGGGAGACCTCTTAGCTCCTTCCCAGCTTCCTCCTCCCTCAGTGCTGAGCAGTTTTTCAGAGCCATTCATACTTCAAACAAAAGATCTACCAGCTTCTCATACATGTGCCTGAATCAGGTTCTCAGTCCTGTGAGGCACCTGTCATGGTCCCCAATATGGAGACAGGACATGGATGCTGGGTGAGATGGAGGAGCACCCCACCCCCCCGGCCTGGTGCAGCTTGAATTCTAAAAAGTAACACCTTGGAGACTTGGGCAGGGGTAGTGCTCAGTGGCCAGGAAAGTTGTGTGCTGCTGAGGGGGATGGGTGTCACTTAAGGAGGAAGCCACCAGGCCCAGGAGTGCACCACCTCACTGCCCAGCTACCCTGATCTTTTCAGCTCATCCCCTTTCCTGAGGCTTTATGGCCTGGGCATCTCGTGAAGTCTTGAACCCTCATTACTACACAAAGTCCTCATAGAGAAACTTGAACAATCACTGCCCGGAATCAGAACAGGTAAACTCGCCAGCCCATTTCAGATGAAAGCAAAGAGCTGCGTTTTTAGTTCAGGTCAGTAGGATATAGGTGTGGCCTCTGTGAAATCTAGGATCCGTGAGACTTGGAAACAGTGGTAGAGATGCCTGCCATACCTACAGCCCACCCACCTTTCTTCTCACAAGGATGCCTATGGTCCAGAAAAAAAAGGGGGGTGGATTCCACTAAATCTGGTATCTGGTGCTGTCAGAGGTCTGGAGGAAGGCAGGTGCCTCCTTCATGCTCCAGTCTTTTTCTTTCCTCTTGCTTCTCCAAGACCAGCTGGGAAGCAGGAAGAAGTCTCTCTCCAAACAGACTCTCACCCTGGGCTCCAGCCCAAGTTTCCTGGGGCGCCAGCTTTTACCTCAAATGAGGCTTTTGATTAAAACCAACTGTTTAGCACCAAATGGGCTCTCCAAGGATTTAGCCCACTGCGATCAAGGCACCTGGTAGAAGCCTGGAGTTTGGGGTTTACTGAGTAAGTGATCTCCTTATCAGCACAGACCTAAGCCAGAGGGAGGGTGGGGCTGAACCCTTGCTGAGCTGGGTTCCTTATCCTGGGGGTCCCGCAAGTCCCAGGTTCTCCGCGCACTCACCAGCCTCTCTCCTGGGAACGCTCAGCCCCTGGCTCTGTCTCTTGAGTCCTGGGCTCTGCTCTTTGCCCTTAGGTGCTGAGAGAGAAACTCCACGCACCGAGGGCCGCGTTGGGTCAGGGTGCACTGAGCTAGAGAGCTCAGGGAGCCGGGCAGCTGTGGCGCAGGACCGGCCCAACTTGCCGCCTGCTCAGATCACATGGGTTACTCTCCGTCCCGCCCAGCTCCGGAATCACCGTGCAGCCCTGGTGCTCCCGCAGGCCAAGTGCAGAGCGGAAGCCAGGGGCCCTTCTGAGAAGCGTCTGTGGGTGCGGAGGACAGAGTCTCCTCGTCCCCCAAGCTGGTTGGGGGAGACTGCGCGGGCAGGCAGGAAGAGCTGTCACACACCTTGAAGTCCTCTGAGCCCAGGTCCCGCAGAGGAGGGACCCGCCGCACGTCCTAGCAGAGGACAGCGGCGTCTCCTTGAATACCCATTCTAACTCTTCAAGGAGACAGCTTCACAGAGAGGGAAACTGAGGCTCAGAAAAGTACCCCACCCAGAGTCACTGACTAGTCAGCGAGACTGTGAGCCCAGGGTTTTCTGCCAGAGTCGCGCATACCCCCAGGGCCTCAGATTGCAGGCTGCAACCAGATCCAGAAGACCCTTCAGTGAGCAGCCCAGCCACTGGGAAAAGGAGGTGGGCAAAAGGCCAGTAGCTCACACCATGGGAGGACCTGGTGATAGGAAAGGCCTCCGGATCAGGATGAGAGCCAATGAATTTTGCAGGCCTCAGTCAGCTTCAAGGCCAGTTTCTCTCAAGCCCAGCTTCCCTCCCCAACCCTTAGGGGACTTAGCCCTGGATGTTGAGAGAATTCACCGCCCCTCCTCCTCCCAAGCATCTCATCACCCTAATCCAGCTCCCCATTGCTCTATTTAGAAACCATCAAATAAGAAATATGTTTAGCTGAGCGTGTGGTCTTTCACACACAAAACCCAACACTTGGGAGACAGAGGCAGGAGAATTGCAGAGAGTTACAGACCAACCTGGGCTAGGATTGAGTTCCAGCCAAGCCAGCCTGAGCTACAGAGAGAGACTCCCGTCTCAAACAATGGCCTCTATTCTTTAGGTACCTCTTTTACAACCCAGTTCCAGTGCCTGCAAAAATAGACAGGGACATAGATAATAAACAGATGCAGGGTGGACAGTAGTGAACAGATGTGAGAGCCGCATCGCCTGTCCATCAACCGGAGAGGAAAGAAAACCTTAGGTCACCTGCAGGAACCTTTCAAAAACCTCACACAGTGTCTGTGTGTGTGTCTCTGTGTGTGTGTGTGTGTGTGTCTGTGTGTGTGTGTGTGTGTGTGTAGGGGGTGGTAGCACTGGGGCTGAATTTACACACCATTTACACACAAGAAAAATAAGCAAATCTTAAAAAAATAAAGACCTTAAAAAGTTTTAGATGGAATCAAGGCGGTATACATTAAAATGAAGATACATGGCACAGAATATAAAGAATAAAAGTTAAATTCCTCTCACTCCCAAGCCCAATCTCTAAAAGCAATAGTCACTGATGATTTATAAGATGTTTCTGACTTGTTTTGTGTGCATGAGTGTGAGTGTATGTGGGTATATGATTGAGTATATGACTGTGTGTGTGTACATATGATTGTGCATATGTCCGAGTATATGACACACACTCTGTGTGTGTGCGCGTGTGCAAGTATGCATGATTCAGCAGTTGTGTGACTTGGGGTTCCTGGGAGAAGCATGACCTTCTGGCTGCCTCCCCTTGGCAGGCTGCCTCCCTCGGCTTCAGTGTTCTCCACGCTTGGTGGAGTAACAAAATCAATGTGGTACGTTCTTTTGGACTCAGTACACACAGTCCACAGTGAAGTGTGCCATGGGGGGGGGTTCCAGGTAAATGTCCACTACAGACAGCAGAAATCTGTTCCATGCTGTCAGATGATCGCAGGACATGCACAGCAGGGAAGCTAGCTGACTATTGGTGGACAGATAACTTTTTTTTTAGATAATTCTTCGTATCAACATTCCGTATTTATGGTGGCTTATACGGTACAGACATGCTCACAGCTCTACGGGCACACTTAGAACAATGTCTCTAGAATCAAAGTGAAATTTGGAACTTTGATCGGAGTCAAAGAATGTATGTGTTTTTCTTTTAAGGAGATTATTTCAAAATTAGAGGCAATTTTAAAATTGTTGAAGCAAACTCAAAATTAGAGAAGGTGACACAGAGAACTGTCAGCTTCCTTCAGCCACTTGGGAGGGATTTGTGGATGGACACGTGTCAGCGTGTTGTGTGTGAAAACCAGGATGACCATCTAGAGAACCAAAATCCAGATTTTAATCACTGAAGCTTGACACTGCCCATCAGGGCCTTCTGCCTTTTCCAGACTGTTTCCATAACATTACTTAGTGCCAAAGAGTCTGTCCAGAATCAACTGCATCTAGCAGCCCTCTCTCTCTGTCTGTCTCTCCCTAAGCACATGTGTGTGTGTGCTTGTATGTGTGCTAGTGGTGAGTGTGACATGCGTGTGTGAGTGTGCATGAAGTGAGCCAGGAGAAGACATGAGCACCCTGTTCTGTCTCTCTCCACCTTATTACCTTGAGACAGGGTCTCTCACTGAACCTGGAGCTACACTGGCCGCCAGCAAGTCCCTAAGAGCCTCCTGTCTCTGTCTTCTACAGCACCGGGTTTACAGGTATGTGTGACCATGCTCAACCTATGTGTGTGCACTTATGTGTAATGTTATACCCTATATGTAAATGTTGAATGGACACATCCCTCCCCACAAAGTATTTATTTATTGCAAATAGGAAGAAAGAACTCTGACCACAGTGAAGCCTAGAAGACAGCCTTACTTCTAGAAGGTTCTTGTTAAATTGTGAGAAATACTGAACAAATCCAAAGTTAGGGACTGTCTACAAGTAAAAAACCTGTACAATTTAAACATGACAAAGCCCAGAAGCCAAGAAAAGTCTGAGGGGAGGATTCAGTCTGAATAGTAAGAGACAGTGGGGCTAGAGAGATGGCTCAGTAGGTAAGAATATTTGCAGAGTTCAAGTCCCCAGCCCCCACCTAAGCTGACCATAACCAAACATGGTGGTTCACACTTCAATCCATCACTTAGGAGGCAGAAGCAGGTGTGTGTCTGTGAGTTCAGAGTCCAGACTGCTCTACATAGTGAGTCCCAGACCTTCCAGGTCTCTATATAGAGAGTTTGTATAATATATAAATATGTATATGGTGTGTGTGTGTGTGTGTGTGTGTGCTGTGTGATCTGACTAGTCTCATTATGCTGGTTTCTCATTATGATCCCTGCCTTCTAGAAGGCTCTGTCTTCTAGGCTTCACTGTGGCCAAATTTCTCTCTCCTTCTTTGCAATAAATAAATTCTTTGTAGGAAGAAATGTGTCCCCATTCAACATTGACATATATACCACTACCAGTAAATTACATTTCCATAAACAAATTCTAACGACGTCCGAGAACACGTTTTGTGTTTTTGCACCACTACTTACCTAGTTCCTCAGTCTTCCTGGGGTACCTCGGGGGGTCCTCTCAGACTCCCTGGCATTTTAGCCTGCCTTGCAGTCCACCCTTCCTTGTTCTCTTTATGGGGGTGGGTAGCTTTCTCTTTCTAAAGGCTGTGTACTTGAACCTTGCATCTTACAGACAAGGAAACTCAGCCCCTTTCCACTTCCCAGCAGGCTCCAGCAAGCAATATGTCCCTATGATCATCAGTGGCCACAGCAGGCCATCTTAGCCCTACTTCATAGCCTGGCACAGGGGGTCCAGTTTCCTCTCTTCATAGGACGGGGAAAGCAATATGGCCCCTAACTTCCATTTAGTGGCATAAGGGACCAGGGCCCCATGGTTTCTCCCAGAAGCTTACCTATGACTATGACAGTATATGGACCAGGGAAGTATTCTCTCTGCCCTCAGAAAACACCAGAAGGAAGAGAGCAAAGTAAGAACAGAATAGACACAACTAACATAGCAGGAGCTCAGAAGAGGGAACTGTCATTGATGTGACACACAGCAGACCTAACCTGCCCCTACACAGGGTAACCGACTGCCAATATAGAAGCTCAAGTCTGATGCAGCAGCCCAAGTGACCAGGAGACAGAGCAAAGTTATCGGTGGCACCCAGAGGCAGGACAACATGTGGACAAAAACGGGCCATTAGTAGAACCCAGTACTTAGAGGCACCAGATGTTGGAATCATGACAAAGATTTTTATCCCAGTTTGAACATAAATTTTCAATCTGCTGAACGTCTGGTCCCAAACTGGCGGCGCCATTCTAGGAGGTTCTGGAAATGTTAGGGGGTGGGACCTGGCAGAGGAAAGTGGGCGCCTGGTGCCAGTCCTCTACCTCTTGGCTTCCGTCTATGAGGTGCATGGCTTTAAAACATCTCCCCACCACAATGCTCAGCTTCATTGAGCAATATAGTCAAATAATGTGAAGGAAACTTCTGGAACTTTGAGCCACACTAACTCACCCCTTCTTTAAGTTAGCTCAGCTCTTGTCACAATGGCAGAAGGTCTCACTGACACAGATTTTAGGGCAGTTTTCATACATCCACCTCACAAATCCATGTCATGAGATAGCCCAAAGGCCAATTTTAAGTCACCAAGCAATCAACCATCGATTCCTAAAGCCAGGAGGCCAGAGGGTTGCCCATTAGCTGTGCCATCTTGGGGAAGAATTTCAGTCCTACTGTGCCTCAGTTGCTCTGTTGGCATCTCAGACTTCACATTGGAGGCAAGGCGGAGCACAGAACAGCAGCGCGCAGGACCCACTCATGACCATGCCCCTTTTGAACCAACAAGTCCCTATTCCATGCAGCAGAGAGACACAGCCGGGTGAAAATCTGTGTGTTTCTGTCACTCTTGTAGTAGGTAGGATTCATGGGGCACATTTCTGCACAATGAAGGAAGGGAGGGAGATGCCCCTGGGGACAGAGTCCCTACACTAGGAGGAAGTTACCTGCCATTCTGTTTCCTCTTCCTTCTTCTGGCCTGGAACTTAGATGGGGGCAGTGGTCTGGAGCTGCAGAGAGTGTCTGGCAACCAGAAGGAGACAAGCTAGAGGTGACCCTAGGATCCGGGGTGGAAAGACAGGTTTGGACCCCTGTGATACTGTGAGCTGTCTCCTCAGTAGGCAGTCCATCTCTAAGTTCCCTTGCTGTGGGAACAAAATCAAAGCCGGTGTAAGCCCCTGTCAGATGGGTTTGCATCGTGAAGGTGAATGCAGCAGACTCCACAGTGAGGAGCGGGAGAAAGGTGGATCTTTGTGTTCCGTCAGGCTCACAACTATGGTCGAGTAAGGTGGCTTCTTCCAAGACGGTCCCCAGGCAGCAGAGGTGTTAAGACAGAACTTCCAGCTGCCCGAATTAGGACACAAAGGGTTAATATTTCTCTTGTTGTAGGTACTTTCTGTGATCCTCCTGCCTCAGCCTCCTGGAGGCTGGAATTGCAGCCTTATCCTTCCTCCCTTGTTTGCTTTCTTCTCTCCTTCCTTGGGTCCTTCCTAAAAGCCTTCCATTTGCTGTGCACCAGGAGATGAGGGTCTGGGACACCCTGCGTGACCAGTCCTCAACATTTCCTACAAGGCTGGTAGGTCAACGCCAGGCTCCATTGACATCCTATACCGGCAGGGCCCTCCTGGGATTATACAGAGGGGAGTCACCCCAGGCTGGTGCAGTTGAAAGCAGCGTCCTACTGTAACTCCTCCACACCGACAGGGGGCGACAGAACTACAGCTGGAGGACCTGGGGCTCAGTGCCAAACTGTCACCCGCTGGAGGGTGGTCATCTGTCACAGTCAGCTGACCGGAACCAGCCCCTGTCCAGTCTCCCTGTGTTTAATTCAGGGACACCTTCCCAGGCCCCAGCACCTTTTCTCAGTCATGGTGAAGTCGTGTTTTAGCCTCTCGCCCTGCTCCTCCCTTGTCTCCCAGGGGCCCGCTATCCATGACCCCCTCCTTCCCATCTTGGCTTTCCTCGAAGCCACTTGGTGTGCAGCCAGCCATAGTGACTCATGAGGCCCGAAGGGCAGGGCTGCGGCTTCTGTGCCGGGCGCCCGCCCTGTCTGTCCCCGAGGTGGTGGCCTGGAGCCCACCCAGGAGGGTGGGGGAAGACACTCATGAGGTTCAGGCCACCCACTCCTGAGACACTGTTGCCTTTTGTCAGGAGACCTGCGTTCTGGTGGCCCGTCTTTGTCTCTGCCCTGCACTTCAAAATGAAACCATCCTAAGCCACCCCTAGGTTAATAGCTTGGTACTCTCATTCAACAGTTCTCATCCCAAAACTTCTTAATGCTCAGTTTTGTTCTCCCCTTTTCCCTTCTTTCTGTCTCCCTTCCCTTCTGTCCCTCTTCCCCCTCCTTCCCTCTCCTTCCCCCCCTGCCCCCTCCTTCTTCTCCTCCCCTCCTTCTTCTCCTCCCAGTACTAAATTATACACAAAGATGAATTTACTCTGCTCCTGACGCCTCTGGCCTTGGTTGCTGGCCAACTTGGGGACCACTTTGCAAAGCCTAGGAACTGTTGAATCATTTGGCTCCCCTCCAGTTCTGCTTGGGGAGTCCCTTGGTAGGGGTGGAATGCTGGGATTTCCCATCACCAGGATCCCTAGTCCATTTCTTATAGAGACCCCAGGACCTCTAGGCCTGCAGGGACCCACCCACATACGGCCTCCTGGGGGACCCACCCACATACGGCCTCCTGGGGGACCCAAGACAAGGAAAGCCCCCATCTCCCCATTAAGTTGTTCCTGCTGGGAAGCTGGGACTCCAGCTGGTCCCTGGACCCTGGGAAAGTCCTGCCCCCCTACAGGCCAGCCTTTAGGGGCTCACTGCTGGCAGCACTATGGTAGGTAGGCAGGGCATCGCTGCATGTAGGTTGACTCTGGGAGTAGGTGCAGTGGGGTGTTGTTTTCTAGAGGGAGGCAGAGCCACCATAGGGGCTTTCCAGTGGAGGCACTTACGCCTGGGTCTGAGTCTGGAAGACTCAACCCTTCTTCGGGATACCCTGGGATCGTCTCCTTTTCTGGTATCCAGCTTGATGGAGCGGGATGGAGTCAAGTCCTCACGGACGTGAGTGCGCTGCCGGACAGAGCCCAAGACCATTCAGTGGGGGCCTTGGTCTGTGCGTCCCAGCTATAGCCTGAGATGCAGATGGGGCAGAAGTGTTGCCCAGCAACACTTTCATCTGGCCACAGCAACAGTCACCCATCTCAAGACCAGAAAACAGAGGAGGGAGTGGTTTCTGAGACAGGACAGTGCCGTCCTGAGGCTGCTGCCATAGAGCTGTGGGGCACAGGGCATCCACTCCTAGTTGATATCATGGCTTTGTTTGGGCCACCAAGCCATTCTGGCCCCTCATTGGCTGATCCCAGTGAGAAGATAGAGGCCAAGGGTGGTGGTGTTGATATTGCCCCCAGCAGCTGGAGTCGGGGAGGCAGAAGAGAGCAGAGAAGGGTAGACTTAAGTTCAGGAACGCTTCTGGCCTTGGATGTCTTGGGACTTAGGGGCTTTATATGGGCTTCTAATCAGAAACAGCTGGCATTGTAGCTATCCTGGCAGGAGTGTAGCTATTCTAGAGAGAGACAAGCATGCCCCCCACCCCATCAGACTGTTAAAACAAAGCCATAAGAGATAGGAACTTCCCAGGAATCTCGTGCTGGGTAAAGCAAAAGGTTAGGACCCCAGTGCCAACCAGAGGGAGGACATTACCTCCTAGAAAGAGGTTTTGGTCTGAACAGTTTGTCAGACTACCTTTTGGGAGGCCGGAGCCCAGACGACAAGGACGATGACGACACAACACAATGACCCAACTTGATGGGGACCACTTAGTTATGTGTGCTTCTTGTTTTCCGGTTAAGCCTAAATCTCATGGCCATGCCTGAAGATGGAGTTCAGGGGACACTGAACCTCTTTGTCTGTTCCTCCTCCCGGCATGGCCATGTTGAGTTGAGTCTTCTTTTCTGCCAGTGGATGAGTGGCGGTGGAGCCTAGCTTGTCAGGGCTGCCAGGGCCCAGGCTTGTGCTCTCAGGTCTCCAGAGAGCGGCCCTGGTATGAGATGCCGACTGCATCCCAGGCCGTATGACTCTAGGCACTTCGGGGAGAGGGTGAGTCTAGGGGGATTTTCAGGGTTCCCCAGCACCCCACGGTTGCAGTCATGGGCTTCAGCACCTGTGTCTGGCCTTAGCAACTGTTGTTGGGTAATCAGTCCTGCGCCTCTCCTGTTCATTCTATATCAGCTGAGCTCCAGGTGGTGCAGCTGTCGACAGGGGCAGTGTTAACCCGAAGAGAAAGGGACCTTGAACTCTGGAGAATGGTGTGCATCAAAAAAGCTGGAGCGAGGACCTTGAGAGGGGCTGCCACCCTGGATCAGGTCAAGTCCACCCTCCCCATTGCAGCCCCAGCTGAGAGTTGCTCGCCCTCTTGTGATGCTCACAGTGGCTTCCCATGATCCAGAGATGCTCAAAGCCCTGCACTCTTTGAGGCCTGGCTCTAGGGACTTGTCGGTCTCTAGTGACTTGTCGGTCTCTAGTGACTTGTCGGTCTCTAGTGACTTGTCGGTCTCTACAGCAGACTTGTGGACAGTGGTGCTTCGGACATTGTACTTTAATGACGGAGGAGAACCTGAGGCTCAGGGAGCCTGTGACCTTCCAGAGGGCCTACGACAGTGAGTGGGAAAGGGTCCCACTCAGGCTGGTCTGAGGCAAGCATGTCTTTTGTGCCTCTTTCCTTCACAAAATCCCCTCAAAGGCCATTGGGATACTGAGTGGCTGAAGGCCATTGATCTAGTGATGCTGAACTAGGCTCTCAGGCAGAGTCACTTGAACTTCAGGTACCAGGACACGCCCCTTGAACCTCTAAAGTTCTGTCTTTTGAGATGCTCTTTCCATTCTCGGCCCTGGTTCAAGCATTCTTGTTTAGGAGATATATAAATTAAATATAAAAATATAAAAAAAAATTTTATAGGTGTTTTGAGGCAGGGTTTCTCCGTAGCTTTGGAGCCTGTCCTGGAACAAACTCTTGTTGACCAGGCTGGCCTCAGACTCACAGAGATCCACCTACCTCTGCTTCCTGAGTGCTGGGATTACAGGCGTGTGCCACCACTGTCTGGTTTAGGATATGTATTTTAACAACCATGCTTCACTTCGTTTTCTTCCCTGCGACCAAACCTCCCCATTCACCCTCACCAGATACCTGCTTGTTCTTAGGGGAAGGAGACTAGAAGAACCGGTGTTTCAGGTCAACAGCCATGCGGGCCCCTGCCAGCTTGGTTTCCTCCTAGCCTGGGTGCAGATCTTCACTACAGAGCTCCCCAAACTGGATGGTGGTTTCTTCAGGTATCTGGTGCCCTCTTCTGGCTGGTTCTGTTACTGCATGGGCTCTAAGGGCTGTGCAACAAGTAGCCATTAACACAAAGCTGACACCCTCATTCTTTGATTGCTAGAGCGGTCCCAGCCTACTGGTCCCTTCTGCTAGTGAAACTTCCGCCCGTGGTGCCAGGTGTCCATCCCCTGTGATGAGAGTTCTGCTTAGACTCCTGCGGTAGCTGGGGATCCCACCAATCTCTTCCTGTTTTTCTAAGATTGGACACTCACTCCTTTTTGTCTTCCATCATGGCTGGGCTCTGGACCAGCTGCTGCAACCTTCTTGATTCTAACTTGCCCTTCATCTGTGACAGTATCTTCAAAAGACTGAGGGGAGCGAAACTGTCTCTCTATAAATGAGCAGGTTACAGTGCTCGGGGTTACTTGAGGGTCATGGGAATCAAAATGGTGGGTTTGATGGTATGATAGACCTATGGCCCATGAGTCCATTCAGGGAGTGAAAAGTTTACTGAGAATTCTGGGTAGTTTTATGCCAACTTGACACAAGCTAGAGTCATCTGAGAGGAGGGAACCACAATTAAGAAAATGCCTCCATAAGAGTTGGGTTGCAGTCGAAACTACAAGGCATTTTCTTAATTAGTAATTGATGGGGCAAGCCTAACCCACTGTGGGTGGTGCCATCCCTGGGCTGGTGGTCCTGGGTTCAATAAGAAAACAGGCTGAACAAGTCATGGCGAGCAAGCCAGTAAGCAGCTTCCCTCCATGGCCTCTGCACCAGCTCCTGCCTCCAGGCTTCTTCCCTGAATGAGTTCCTGCCTTTCCTGCTTTTGATGATGAACTGTGAATGAAATAAACCCTTTCCTCCCTGGGTTGCCCTTGGTCATAGGGTTTCCTCACAGCAATAGAACCCCAGTCGAAGACACAGAGATTTATGGAGCTGCCCAGGCTACTAATGGGAAAGAATGAGGTGACCGTAGCGTAAGATTCCTGGAAGGATCTTTGTGACTGATCCATGTCTTGACTCAGGTGGTGGCTATGTGAATTACACCTGCAATAAAGCTGCTAACAACTAAACACACACACACATACAGACACATACATACACACACACAGAGACATACAGACACATATTCACACACTCCAAACATATAGCCATACACAGACATCCAGACACTACCCCCATAGACACCCAGTCACACACCAACTCACAGTCACACACACACACACACACACACACACACACAGGCACAGTCACACACAGATACACACACATACATATACATCATGGCTGTGTATTGTGTAAGACATTGCCACTGAGAGAAACCAGGTCAAAGGCTTGCAGATTTCTCTGTTATTTGTCACGAGTTAACAATCACTTCAAAGTAAAAATGTTAACATGTAAGTGGGGTCTCAGAGAAATGAAACTTGTGCACAGTGTTGGTGTAAACCCAGCAAGTAAGCAGGTACACACATTGTCATGTGGGCTTGTCATGGAGGCTATAGAAAAAGCAAACTGAAGGCTTGCAGAGCAGATGAATGAGCCCCACAGACACTGTCCCATGTGAAGGAGACACAAGGTGTCGTAGAGTACTGTTCTGTGTGTATGAGTCTCCACAGCGCAAATCTGATTTTTATCTTGGATATGTGGCTGCCACAGAATTTGCATGTGTCCCTTAGGCTGCAGGAAATGTCTTTTGTCTTGCTGAGGCTGTGGTGGGCATTTTAATACATTTGCTAGTCTCAGATACACAAGAGTGCCAGGAGTGACTGAGCTAGGCATTTCAAACAGGCACGTCCTCCTGTATGTAAGTCATATCCAGTTAAGAAGAATAGCTTATCCAAAATCCAAGTGGGAGGTTTTGGCCCAATGCCGGAGCAGGTAACTGATGGCTGTTTTACAGGAAACTTTCCCATGTTCCATTGACGACCGCTGGAGATTTATTGCTTTAAGTATTTCTCTGTCCTGTGTAGATAATTTAACTCATCCCAGCTGGGCCCTAACAATCCCATCCACTGTGGTCTCATGCGACTCATTGGCTATTTAAAAACTTCCACAGCAAAGAGACTTTTGGCACCGAAATTATATACATCAGTATCCCAAGGCGTGCCCCCCCCCCCCACCAAGGAGGTTCGCTTCTCGCTCACACGGAGTTCCTTCAGGATGGAATCAAGATGTGTGACTTAAGCCTTTTCTTCCCCCCAAGGATGAGTCTGCTGAGGCGGATATGGCGGAACACCACTTAGATCTTCCTTCCAAGAGAACATGCTGGAAAGCTGGAGGCGGGAGCTGGCTGGCAGCCTGGGCTTCAGCGCCTTCAGCATCTGTTGCAGTGTGGGAGCCTCAACCCTCTCTTCAGGCAGCTCCACGATAGGGCTTCTCTGGAAATACTGGAGCAAGACAGTCTGGTGGCTTCTCCCCAGCGCGGTTCCTCCTCAGGGCTGCTCGCTTGTCTCACGCAGCACCATGGGCTGAGGCTCGCTTGCCAGGGGTACACTCTGACACCAGAAACCTTTTCTCTTCCTCCACCAGCACCTTTCTCCTCTTCTATGGGCTCTGCCTAGCACACATCTCTGCCACGTATCTGCCTCTGCCATGCTTCCCCAAAGACTAAAAGCATCTGCCAGTTAGCTAAGACAGGACCCAGAAGGTCACCTGCAGGCCCAAGATGTGGAGGTGTTTCCACAGGGTGTGGAAAGAGGTGCTATCTAAAGTGAGGGAGGACACAGGTGGGGGAAGGAGGGAGAGACAGAGGACAGACAGATGGACAGACAGACAGACAGACACACACACACACAGGAGAAACAGCAGGAGAGCGAGAGATAGTGTGTGTGTGTGAGTGTGTGTGTGTGTGTGTGTGAGAGAGAGAGAGAGAGAGAGAGAGACACACACACACACACACACACACGGGGTGAGGGGGAGGGGAAAGGAGAGAGGGAGAGGGAGGGAGTCTTCCTCATTGGTCTTCCCCAGACCTCCCCCAGTGCCTGTCTGTCTGAGCCCACCCAGAAGCTAGAAGACAATGGTTTGGGAATGGTTTCCCTTCACTGCCAAGCATGAGAAGGGAAACTCGAATGGGAATCTGTTAATGTACGAGAACCACCCAGGATCCTGCATAGGTTAGGGCATGGCACGCAGGCCAGAGAGGAGTCACAGGCAGAGAAAGTGCTGTGCAAAGTCCTTGTTGGGTCCCGTGGAGGAGAGACAGGGACTCCTTGAAGGCTCTTTCCACATTGCTGTATGTTTGTACATTTTTGTAATAAACAATTCAAAACAGGGGGAAACCCAAACCTTTAACTAGAATGTTCCTCTTCGGTGGAAGACGCGGGCAGAAGTCTCCCTGCCTCACTTTCCCCCCTGGGCACAACCAAACAGCCTCCTTGTTATCTTTGCAGAGTCAGCAGTTAGGGAGATGGGACCCCATCTACTGCCTCCCTGCTCAGTCTGCCATCATGGTGGGACCGGAGATCATGTCCACGGCAGGCTTCCATTCGTGATCTGCCCCCCGTGGCTCATCCACTGCCTTACAACTCCGAAGTGAGCTACTCATGCCACTGGGCATAGTGGCATGTAAGAGACCCACCACCTTGGCTGATTGAGGTGGGGGGCTTGCTTGAGCCCAAAAGCTCAAGGACAGTCGGGGAACATAATGAGACTCCAGAAAAAGGTGGGGAGGGGTGAGAGAGGGAGAGAGAAGGAGGGGAGAAAACACGTCATAAAATACAAACGTCCGTCTTTTATTTATATATTTATTTATTTGGCCTGACAGGCTTGGGGCATTGTGACTTCCTTGCTGTGGTTTGGTGACCCCGACCTAGCTCACTGTGCCCTCCACATTGTCCTGCAGCCTCTACTGCTCCTCACTGTTTTCTGGAAACATCTGGACCGAGAATGCTGAACTTATCCACATACCTCTGGCTCTCACAGCCGTGTTCCTCAGGACAGGCTAACCCGTGACCCATTTTGCGATTTGCCTTATCTGAGGGCCACATATATTTGTTTACAACTTTACCACGGAGTCTTTAGAAGCAAGGACCTATTGTGTTTCCCCAGTAGCAGCTCCAAAGCCAAGAGTTTCAGTGTGCTCAGCAAAGCTACGACACAAAATCAAACAGGCCATGCCTACAGCCTCAAAGATTGAATGCCTTCCCCTTCCAGGCAGCACTAACTCGCTAGGGCTTAGGTTGATTGTCAGAGGTACTGAACCTATCTCATTGCCTTTGGTCTCTCCCTCCCCAAAGCACCCACCCTGCCTGCCTCCCACCAATCCCAGGCCATATTCTCTGCCCAGCCAGGCTGTCTTCTAAGTGACTTGGGGAATACTCAGAGCACGACCTTCACGGTGCCCACCTCTCCAGGAACTTCCTGGCTCTTGCCCTTCCTGGGTCAGCTCCTCAGCACTTCCTTGGACTCAGCACTTCCTTGGGATGCTTAGGCTGGCTCAAGTTCCTTTGTTGATTGTATAAGCATTCCACAATCAGCCTAACTGAAAGGCATGTGTGGTGTGAGGTAGGGGCAGGATGGAAGAGAGGGGGCACGGCTAACTCTGAGGAGCTCTTCTGTGACGCTAGGATTGAGCTGTGTGGCATTAACTATGATTTCACCTCTCAATGAGCCCGGCCATGCGTAGCAATCATCACTGGGTTAGTCACGGACAAGCAACAGGCGTAGGAATTAGGCTATTCCAAGAGGGAGGCATCGGAATCGCTGAGCGGATCTACTGCGGTTTTGGTTGCCTGGGTCTAGGAACCTGACTAGAAGCAGTGAGGGAATGAAGACAGGACAGACAGACATGGAAACCTAGGCGTAGGGGAGGTGTGACAGAGCGACACCCATCCTGCACGACAGCATGGAACCTCGTCACGCTTATCAGGCACAGAACATGGGAAAGGACTTCTCTGGGTGGGAGGTGTCTGTCGGTGCAGTTCCAGGCTGCAAGCTGCCAGGGAGGAGGAAGCAGTTGCTAGCTTTTGCACTCGCTAGTCGATCATTTATAAGCACTTTGACTTGGACCAGAGGAAGGCGTCGCCATTTCTTGATCCATATGGCTTTGCCAATTTCCCATGGACTGGAGGCACTGGGCCCTTAAAATGTCTGTTCCCATTTCAGCAATACACATCCTCTCAAGACTTCATCTGCTCTTCACACACCCACCCAGAACTTCCTCGGCTTTCCACACAACAGCCACCATAGAGATATTGACCAAGCATCTCCTGGTAGCCTGGCAACTCCTCTTTCTTGGGCATAAGAACCCCATGAGAAAGCCAACGAGACTGATGGTTTTATAGATGAGAAAAATAATATTCAGAGAAATATGACGAAGGCCCGCGGCTGGGAAGCAATGGAGTCAGTGCCCAGTTCCAGGCACACTGGACTCCCAGGTCCCTGCCCTAGATGGCCTGGGGCATCTGATCCTGAGTCATTTCCTGTGCCTTTGGCCTGTTAATCCTGCTCCCTTCCACCTTCACTTCTAAGTCAAGTGTCTTGTTGTTCTTGGATTTCCTGTGGCTTCTCTGTCTTTACTCTCATATGGGCCCTGTGTTCGAAAATGAGGACACCAATCGACCTGCCCTGAGTGGCCAATCGACCTGCCCACAGTGATGAAATATGCCACCCACAATGACGCTGTGTGTTCTTAACTAGGTGGGACCTGTGGCCCTCATACAAGTCACCCTCATACAAGCAGCCTCCACCCTTGAGTGGAATGAATTCCTTCCCTTTCGGCCAATACCACAGAACTTGGGAAGGAATATGGGAAGTTGGTATCCGGAGGTTACTAAGCCTTAATTTTTTTCTTTGGCTGAGTAATACTGAATCTTAGAGTCTGAAGGTCCCTGGGTGTTGTGTGGTCCCCATGCTCAGTCTATCAAGCATGAAGGTGGGAGAGCATCCTGCCTGTTCTAGCTTCATTTCTGCTGCTATGACGAAATCTCCTGACAGAAAGCAACTTAGGAGGAGCTTATAATTCCAAGTTTTAGTCCGTCACCATGGAGACTTTACAGCAGCAGGAGCTTGAAGCAGGTTACAGCAAATCCACAGTCAAGAGCAGAAGGAAAAGTGCAAGAATCTTTGTTCGCCTGCTTGTTATTTTAGCTAGCTTTCTTTTCTCTTACACTCTTCGGGATCTCCTGCCTTGGGAATGGTGCCACCCACAGTGGGCTTGATCTTCTATACCTTTGATAATCAAGGCATCTCTCCCTGGACACTCCCACAGGATAACTTGACAATTTCTCCTTAAGACTCTCTTCCCAGGTAACTCTAGGTTGTATCAAGTTGAGAGAATTAACAAGCACACTGCTTTCCAGAAGAGGGTGGCCCAGTGCCCACGCTCACCCATAGGGTGTGAGGATCTTGTTTGTGCTCACTAACATTGGTTGTACTTCTGTATGGGAAATAGGATGTAGGCAAAAGACAGGCAGGCCAACCTAGGAGTAAACACAGTCTCACTTCTAAGGCTTCCTGTATTCAAGTGACTTGTCTTGACCAATGGAATGAGTGCAGTGATGTTTCATTTCTCAACAGAGACTTAATCTCTCTCTCTCTCTCTCTCTCTCTCTCTCTCTCTCTCTCTCTCTTCATTTCTTCTATCAGAATGACTCTGAATATTGACAGCTATGGATGGCCGAGGCTACTGGCTGCTCAAGACTCTATGGAAGCTCATCTTGAAAGGTGGCCCCAGTGAAGCACACCTCCTGATGCTCACTCACAGCCTCGCAGACCTCCCCCTGGTCACTTCTCCCTTGGACTGATGGAGTGTGGCTGAAAGGACACTGTTTCTGCCACGGACACAGAGTTTATAGCTGATGCTCTCTTCCACTTTTTGGAAGCTCGGAGCTACCACATGGAGGAGAGAGAAGCTCTGACTAGTGAGAGGGTTTCAAATGTCCGTGAGGCATCTTGGATGCTCTAGGAAGTCCTCAGGGTAACTGTCCCAGCCAACACCCAATGCAGCAGAAACTCATCCAGCTGAATCCCAAGAATCACAGGAGGCAACAGAATGAGGGCCATTCTCAGTCACTCAATATTCAAGTGGTTTTCAGCAGCAATAGACAATCAGTACCACACCAGACTGATACCAGACGCTGATAACCTGCTGGCCACCATGACTGGGGAGTTTGTGGGGTGACACTGTTAAGGTTTGCTTGTTTGTTTTGTTTGTTTATTTATTGATTGATTCATATAAAGAGATTAGTGAAGCCGGATGGTGGTGGTGTTTGCCTTTATTTCCAGCACTTGGGAGGCAGAGACAGGTGGATCTCTGTGAGTTTGAAGCCAGCCTGGTCTACAGAGTGAGTTCCAGAACAGCTAGGGCTGTTATACAGAGAAACCTGTCTCAAAAAAAAAAAAAAACAGAGAACAGAGAGTGAGAGGGAGAGCTATCAGGAGATGAACTTGATATGAACAGAGACTGCTTTGTTTCCCGGCTGCCCAGACCCAAATAATCACACAGAACTATATTAATTACAGCACTGTTTGGCCAATAGCTTAGGCATATTTCTAGATATCTCTTACATATTAAACTAACCCATTTCTAATATTTTATATCTTATCATGAGGCTTGTGGTTTCTTACCTCTTGCTTCTTGGGCAGTTACATGACATTTGCCTCCTTCGGCAGCTACATGGCGTCTCTCTGACTCCACCTCCTTTCTCTCTGTATCTCTTCCAACCTGGTTATAGTCTGCCTGGTCACAGTCCAAAGCAGCTTTATTCATTAACCAGTAAGAGCAACACGTATACAGAAGGACCTCCCACATCGACTTGAATTCAGGCAAACTGAAGGAAGGG